TATTATTAAACTAAGTAAATTAAATTAATTCAATTAAGTGAATCTTACCTCACAAGTCATCTTGATAAACACAAAAGTCTTACTTATGTAAAAGATTAACTTTATTTTCAATTTTTGATGTCACTCCTATTTTAACTGCAACATAAATGTGAGAAACCACATGTAGAAATTAATTTAGAACTTTGTTTCTTGTCACGGTTTGATTGTCGCTAGTTAATTTTAAATTGATGGGCCTCGTAATCACAGTTAGAGTGATTCATACTTTACTATAACTCTGCTGTCATTGATATTTGAATTCGTGATGTAAAAAGACACCCACAGCCACATGTGGACACAATTTTACATATGACCAGGGATGCCATACATTTTTACTGCTGGCTGGCTGTATTGTTGTTGTTATTATGGGATACATAATTTATAAGAAGTCTAAAAATAGCAAGGCTACCGTATTCATCATTGATATGCTGCTGGTGTTCTTGCTGGAGGCAGCATCTTCCTCCTATTTACCCTTCTTTTTAAAATTATATAAGTAATTGAATTAGCTATTGAAAGTTAGTGATCAGTGGATGGGATTTCTAGACAGCTCCAGATGAATGTTTGCACTCATGCAGCAGATTGATTGTCTGTCAGACGTCGTCACTCTGGTGCAAGAATCAACAAAAGAAATCCACCACAACCATAAAAATGCCTGGATCTTTGATTTATATGATGAAACACAATGGCTTCATAAATCCACTGTGACCTCCTCTGGGTTCAAGAGACTGTAGAGCTGCTATGGAAAAATACTAGAACATCTTACTCTTGCAATATTAGGCTACTGTTTTATCGAAAAGGCTTAGACATGCCACGGCCAGTAGACTTGATTTTACCGCAGACACTTTGGCTTGTCAGCAGAAGAAGCACAGGGAGGATGAATAACCTTAATAATGGCTCAGCTGCATTTAAACCATCGTGCACAAAACCAGAGCCCTGGAAAAGACAAAACTAAATGTGATGCATGTTGATAGCATCATTACGTACACCTGTGTGTTGTATGATGTGACATTTGTGACTAGTTGTGATGCCGTCTGTGATTTCTTTATTTTATCACCTCAAACAAAAACCGATGGAGGATCAACCTAAATTAAGGCAGCATAACGTTGGCTCCTTAATAAGTCTTGCAGTGGAGAATTATTGCTCTTTTACTTCAGCTAATGAAGTACATGAAAAAGCCATGTGCCGATTCTGTATTTAATTAGATAGGTAGTGTTATTTAGCATATGCCACACCATTTATTGCGCTCACAATTAGATGATTTTGACAACGTTTTTCGTGTTTTTCTGGTTCCTGGTGTAAATCTGGTGATTGATGATCCTGCTGAAGCAACCGATCAACACGTTACAGCTGCAGTCAGCTTGGTGCAGTGCTGCTGTGCGTTGGTCATGTGATCCTGAGAGCTGTAAGTAAGCATAAACCTCATGTGTTCCAAAATGCCTCCTTTGCTAAACTTAAGTATTACGTAAGAGGGAAAATGTTAAATCTAAAAATCTCCATCTGGTCTCAGCAGTCTCACATTGATTCTCTCAGGCCACAAAAGGAAGTCAAGGTTTCCTTCTCCTTTCCTCAGTACTATTAATTACCACAATAATTCCTTTATTTCATCAGAATCTCTTTAACATGCAGGTTAATAGTGATACAAACAAAGCAAACAGACATTACCTGGCAAATCCAGTAGTCAATTATGCATTGCTTTATGTATATTTGTTGCGTTTGTTTCATAATGTACCAATATGTCATTATTTCATGTAAATCTTTGTTCCCTAATTGCTTAATTGTAATTTCCTTCAAGGTGTACATTTTGACTTTTGTTTCTTTTCAGTCTTGAATGCTTGAATGTGATTTTGGAAACTTTTATTTAGTTTTAAGTCAGAGAAGAGCAGAATTTCTTACAGTTTTAATCCAACATATCATCTCCTACACTGTTGGTGTAACCTATTTTGTTTGTGAAATATTTAATGTTTTATCTGTCTTTAATATTGGACGACCCCCACCCCCAAAATGACAAATTGAAGCATGAGTAGCTCAGTAAACTGGAGGGAATTCATCAAACTTTTTAGCGACTGTCACTGGAGGAAAGTATGTGCTCATAAAACTCAGTTTAAAACACATCGCTGATTAACCAAACTGTCTCAAAGTGTAGAAGTTTTTTGTGCTTTTAAATTCATTTCTTTACAATAGAAGGTTTTATTCAACAGCTAACTTGCCCTCTGAGCAAACAAAGTTGCTGCTAAAATGAGGCTGCAGTTGATGTCTGTTTTTATTCTTAGGATGTATGTTGTGGGGTCTTGGTGTGCATGAAGACATTTGTGGGTATTTTGAATATTCACGCTTTTTTACACCTGGATAAAACATGTAATCAGTCATTTTCTACATGATCTAAACTTGGCAAAGCTATAGTGAGAAACACTGAAATGACGTTTAGTCCTCAGTAATTTTTTGATCATTGTAAATATCCTTAAATATCCCTAAAGGTGGCAAATCAAAACACAAGATCTGAAGCATGTTGCAGGTCAGTTATATGTTTATTCAGCTTGTTGCCGGCTGTTACAGGTACACCAAGCGTAATGGTGCAGACTTTGTATTAGTTTCACAGATGTAAAGCACCATTTAGATCTAGGATCAGCAGACAGACAACAAGGAGCTCCTGCAGTTATCTTTCGGTTTCACGGTTTAGCTTTGAATGAACTTACAGAACGAAAAGAATCTAGTGCAGGTACGCTGAGAGACACACTGCATGAATATAAGGAAAAACCAGTAACAATTAATCTTCCGCTGCATTTACATTCCCAGAAGTAAAGACGGTTTTATTGAAAATTTAAATAACCAAATAGCCAAGTAGGAAGACCCACACTCACTCTGATTTTCAAACCAAAGCTTGCAGTTTTCGTGTAGACGTAAATGCGGAGGAAGACTAACTAAAGAGGACATAAATGGGTTTCTAACGTAATGAAAAGAAAGTTTTAAGGTTACTGGTTCACTGACTAATACTACAGAACCAGGGGTGCAGGACATTGCATAATTGATTGGTAGAGTTCCTGGAGCAACGCGCTACAACTTTCTTGCATCACTTCAAACACGGATAAAACCCAAGCACTGAGAGATTAAAGGATTTAGGTTTGTCCTCCTCCACAAACAATTGGTCAAATGTTTGCACAAGGAGGATTCAGGAAAGTCAAATGTGAACTCTGTTGCTTGGACCTTAACGTGCACGACACACAGGAACTCAGCCAAAGCAACGCTGCCGTCCGACATAGCTATGTAACTAATGCAGTGCAGCCACTCTGCGTATTTTTTTACGGTTTGCCGTCTTCTTGATGTTTGGTGTCAGAACGTGTGTAGAAGAAGGGGGACTTCTGGTGGACCTCTTGTTTAGCACAAGGGCGCTGCTGTCTTGAGAGAGATGAGCTTTGCGGTTTTTGGTTTTGGGAGGAGGAAAGAAATTCATGTTTTCAGGGGGGGGACATAGGCGAAGAATGTAAAAGAAATGAGGAAGGAAGAGAAGGGAAGTTATGGAGGGATGCTTGAGATGTTCAGGGCATGGGTGAGGGGGTATGAAGAATTCAGGTTGCCAGGTTGGTGGTGTTTAGGTTTTAATTTAGGGCTGGAAGAGAAGGGTACGCCAGCCGAATCTCCTCCCCCTCCAGAAGTTTCCTGAAAAGAAAAGAGATTCTCCTTGAGATTATTATTATTTATGTCTTTGAATATGTGCTCGGTAACTCAAATCAGATAAGACCAAGATCAAAAACGTTTAAAGGAGCTGCTTGTGTAGATCATGTCTCACCTGTACGCAGCGATTTCAATGTCAAGGGCCATCTTCACATTGAGAAGGTCTTGATACTCTCTCAGATATCGCGCCATCTCCTGCTTGGCCTCGGTGATATCCCGCTCCAGTTCACTTATCCTCATCTGGAAATGCAAAAAAAATCAGCATCAAATATTGCAATTTGCTTCACGGTAATTGGAAACTGGGTGTGTTTGTCGCGTTCATGTGCTCTCTCGGTTTAACCTTGCAGATTTTCACCTCTGCTGTGAGCCTGCTGTCATTTCCTGCTGAGCACTAGCTGCTGCAAAAGAATCCTTTTCCATGCCATCTTGTAGAAGAACAAAGCATGATTCTGGCTCTCTACTTTAAGAGTGTTTTCTTTTATTCTGAAGGGTACTTGTTCTCTGTGACAGTCTACACACCATTGTGTTTCCTGTTCCTTTTCTTTAGACCTGTTTCAGAAACAAAGCTCTAAAAACAAATTTTAGAAGAAGGCTGTCTCCCTGAGAATAGATGCACACAGAGCCACAAGCCTATACACACTCTCGAGCAATTTTTTTTATTCAGCACCTTATCATACACAGATGCTATTCAAAAACCTGAGTAGAGTAAACAAAAAAAAATAATACATGTAATCACAATTTAGGCAATGAATTCAGTTGGTCAAAAACAAGTTAGATAACGTGTTCAAAGATTTAATAAATATAATTCAAACAGATGGACTTAATCAGCTAAAAAAAAAAAAAGACGAGAAATGTCCAAGCATATTTGGACCAGAATCAAGTCCTCCTCACTCACCTGGTACTTGGTCACCTCCTTCGCCTGCGTCTCCTCCAGATCCTCCAGCTGCTTATTCAGGGAGTCGATGACGTTCCGGAGGGCCTCGATCTCCGTGGACCGAGACTGAAGCAGCCTCCGGTACTCCATGGTCTCCTCCCGGATGGCGTGCACGGCCTCGTTGTTTTTGCTGGCCATCTCCGCCACGCTCGCGAACTTGCTCTGGTACCAGTCCTCGGCGGCCTGCATGTTCTTGTTCGCCAGCCGCTCGTACTGTGCCCGGATGTCTCGCAGGGCGGTGGAGAGGTCAGGCCGGGACACCTCCACGTCCACGCTGATGTTGGCCACCTGCAGCTGGGCCTGCAGCTCAGCCTGCTCCTCGGCAAAGACTTTCTTCAGGAACACCATCTCGTCACACAGAGACACCACGGTGGCCTCTGCATCACAGTTGTAGACCACGGCCCTGCTCGCCTCGTCCCTGGCCCTCTGCAGGGCCTCCTCAGCATCCATACGCCGCCTCGCCTCCTCCTCGTAGCGCTCCTTCATCTGCTCGTACACGTCACGCAGGTAGTCCCTCTCCGCCTCCATACGCATCTTCTCCCCATTCTCTGAGTCGATCAGGGCCCTCAAACTCCTCGCCTCCCCCTCGTACAGCGTCTGCAGACGGGACGGGTCGTTCTGCCGTCTCCTGAGAGCATCCAGCTCGGCCAGCAGGGCTCGGTTCTGCAGCTCCAGGTGCCTCACCTTCTCGATGTAGGTAGCGAAGCGGTCATTCAGGTCCACCAGCTGTGCCCTCTCCTGGGAGCGCAGGCCCAGCAGCTCTGTGTTGAGGGAGCTGGCCTGAGCCAAGTCCATCCTCTGGGAGCCGTCCGGCAGCGAAGAGGAGGCCATCCTGAGATTCCTCTTCCCGGATGGAGGAGCTCGGGAAGAGGAGTAGAGAGAGGAAGACATGGAGGATTTGGTGGTGGTTCGGGAGCCTTTGTAGCTGTCCCAAGGGCGGCGGTAGGAGAGGAAGGAATCGTAGCTCATGATGAATTTTTTGTGGTGGATTTTTTTTGTTTGTTTAAGAAAATGTATGTTTTAGTTTCAGAAGGTTTTCTTACGTCCCCCTTGTTCTGCACACCATCGGTGAGGATGAGCGAGCGTTTTTGCACTGCACCAGTTCAGTGATGCTGCAGATCCCCAGCTTTTATAGAGTGAGGCTGCCCCCCCTCCACCAACACAGAGAAACATCAGTGCTGTCAGCATTCACCAGGCCAATAGCGGGCTGCTGCAGTGAACAGAGAGCCGGTTGGTTTTCAGACTCACTCTCAGCTCAGGCAGGCAGAGTACATGTGGTAGAGCAGCTTTTCTTTTAGCCTACCCTCAAAATGGCATTGAAATCATTTATTGTCATTACTCTGTTAATTGCTGAAGGCACATTTTACTCCACCCTGTGTCCTCAATGCAGGCTCAGGCAGATTTCTCAAGCAAAGCACACATGTACCTAAACTAAGAAAGAAAATGTCAAAAAACCTTGTGAGGATGACTTGAAACAAAGTCTTTTCCTCGACCCAGTCAGAGAAAATCAATATGTAGTGCATAAAGCAGGAGTGAGGGAGGCATTTACTTCAACAGTCAGGCACTTAAAGGTTTTAATGCTCTAAGAAGCAATAAATTAATTGTGCCTACTACTTTATGAAAGATAAGTCAACCCCATATTAACCTTCATACCACAGCAAGCAACACATTTTCTTTTCTGACTTGTTGTGTAGACCAGACATTTTTTCCAAAACTATTTTCTTCTTACAGCACTTTTCCTTTAGGTTCTCTCTTTATTGCTGCCTGTGAAATAACATTTGGTAGATATTCACCATATTGCAAGGCCCCGTATAGTGCAAGTGCATCCAGAGCATCTTTAATCATGTCTGTTTGATCTAATGAGGTTGCAAATTGATGAGTCACTGATGTTCTTCAGCCATCCTGACTATGACAGCATGTGTGGGAGACACCGCCGAAGAAGAAAGTACTATCTGTATCTGCTGACACTCACAAACAGTCCCGCTGTTCAGAACCCAGAGATGAGTCAGAGTGTAAGTCAGTGTTTGTTGGAAAAGAGGCATCTAGCTAATCCAGAAAAAAAAAGAAAAAGAAAGGTTACGATTCCTGCTCAAGGACGTGTATTTTGGCGACAGTCACGCTGGCGGTCAGGTTGCTGCTGCTCTGCCAGCAAGTTGACCCCTGACATTCATCCGTCTCTGCAGATGTCAGCAGACAACTTAAAGGGAATATAATTAGTAGTTGTAATTAGCAGGTCTTGATAAATGCTGAGGATTGAGCCAAAGTCATTCATTCAACCTTTATTTAAACTCAGTGTCTGTTGAGGTACAGAGGCCTCATTAACAATGAAAGTAGAAGATGTATAAATAAGATACTTGGATAACAATAGAAATATTAAAAGGTGAAGCGACTGAAATCCATCCATCCATCCATTATCTATACACCACTTAATCCTCACTAGGGTCATGGGGGGCTGGAGTCTATCCCAGCTGACTCAGGGTGAAGGCAGGGGACACCCTGGACAGGTCACCAGTCTATCACAGGGCTACACTTAGAGACAGACAACCAAGCACACTCACATTCAATTCACCGATTAACCTCAACATATTTTTGTGGCTGTGAGAGGAAGCCGGAGAACCTGGAGAGAACCCACGCTGCATGGGGAGAACATGGAGACTCCACACAGAAAGATCCCGGGTGTCCTAACCGGGACACGAACCAGCAACCTTCTAGCTGCAAGGCAACAGTGCTAACCACCGAGCCACCTGGCAGCCAGCTCCTGAAATTAAAAAAAAGATAAATAATTCAGAGCATTTAAGATTTAAAAACAAATGCATTACCTAAAACAAGAACAGTTTCAAGTAATATATGATGAAATTAAAAACCTGAATTGATAAAAACTTCTGATTATTCTACACGTTATTTCAGTTTGCAGGAGCACCGTGAGTCAAACTAGATTTTCTAAGCTCAGTAAAAATATCAGGCACCACCAGCTGCTGAAATTCATGTGAGCAGCGAGAACAGCAAACTAACCACCCTGATATTTGAAAAACAAACAAACACTTTATAACACTTACAATATGTAGCATGATGCTTATTTCACTTATGGCATGAATGTCTTACTGGGGAATCTTCTTGAGAAGAAAAACTCCCTCAGTGTCTCTGCTCCCAGTGTTTTCAGCATCATTTTTCAGCTACAAAGGCTAAACTGTTGTTTTTAAGCCAAATAAAAGGAACTTATAAAGCAGCTATTCTGATGCCATTGTTAAAATCTTGATACCTTGCTAACTACTTTTTTTTTTTATCCATCTCTGACCTAATTAGATGCAGTCGGCTGCTTTAGATGGCAAAAAATGTGACATTTTAGTGTAGCGTTGTAGTTCTCAGTAGCTGCCAATAGAGGCTGATGAAGCTCATCGATCGCCTTACAGTTAAAGGGAGAGCTTACACAAAGAGATGATTAAGCTTTTCTTTTATAGCTGTGGTTAATTAATCAATGTATTTGAAGAAAAACCAATGGGGAGTGCTGCACTGGGTCCAGAACAATAGTGTTGGGTAGAATGAAGGAAATACGACATCAGGTCCTCAAGGATAAGTAGGATAAGGCCATTAGTTAGTAAAGACTTCTGTCCCTCGTCTTATTAATGGAAGTCCTTATTGATGGTACCTTGGATATTCCTCAGACTGTCGATCAATACGAAGGGACAGTCATTAGTCTTTCACTTTCGTAATCAATTTATTTGTTTGTTTGTTTGTGTGGAGGAACAAAAGATGGAGCATGAAGCTGAATCTAATTTGCAGCCTCCACGTCTGGTTCGTGTGGTAGTTAGAGTAGTTTCAATGTGACCGATACTTCAAATAATACTCTCGACTTTTAAACTGATGAGAAAAAAAAGTAGAAAGAGAAAGTGGACTTGTCTTTTTGCTTTGCGATGAAGTAGCTCACAGAAATCCACAGATCAAACTGCAAAAAAGTTTTATTTAGGACTTGCTCCCGCTGTGGTTTTTTGGCCTTAACATCAGTAATCATAAACAAAGTATACTCCTGAAGTAGAAGAGGACATCACCTTCTAAAGGTGTTTTGAACAACACCGCTATTTTAGGCTGAAGCTGACGCTCAGTAAGTCTTTTCTACATGTCGCAGTTGGAAAGTGCACAAATATAAATAGCTGCTTCTGTTTCAGAGTCTTTAATAGACGTGTTTTAGTCGCACCTGAGCTTTTCCTACTATGACAAGTCACTGTGACAAAGGCCGTTTGAGTCTTTGGGCTTTAATCAAGAGGGATAGGGGCTATATTTGTTGTTGCTTGACATTTAAAGGGGTTGCTCAGACAGTAGCACAATAACAATCAGATTCCTTTCTTCTACCTGTGATTAGAGAGTTTTGGTTCCCTATTGTATCCTGTTGTAAGTGAGCGATGTGACTCATAATAGCAGTGTCTGAGTCCACAACGATTTTATAAAGAAAACTCGCGACATGCAGAGACTTTGAGGTAGAAGGCGTCTGAGCTGATTTTCATTTCTGGCATTGTATGAGCACACTGTAAAAAAAA